ATTCCCACGTATCTCCTCCAAGAAACACAAGCGGCAGGTTGCAGACATCCTGGAGCTTGCTCATGTACGCCGGCCTGCTGCTGTTTGGTGGCAGAGTTTGGAGCAGGAAGCGGCGGACAGGCAGCAAAGCGCTTTGCTGGACAAGTTGTGGCTGGGCAGGAGCCATTGTGAAGTTTTGTCTGCCCATGTTATGTCAATTTGCTACTTGCTTGAGCTATCTTGCATTATCTTGCGCTCTGGCTGCAACTAAGGAAGGCGATTACTGCGGAGAGACGCGCCATGATTTTCCAAGCGCTGCCCACTGCAATCAGGCAGACGTGCGCAGACGTCGCCCTCATGGAATTCACAGCAGTGATGAAGTATCATCTTGCCGGGGAGACGAGGCCATGGGTGTCTCTATCCCGAGAGGGCAAGGTGCAGTGGGTTGAGCAGAACCCGCGGCAGTATTTAACGGAGTCTGGCAAGCAAGGCAGGCTAGAAGCGGCTTGGGCTGCAGAGATGGAAACCTTCGGGCTGCGGGAGTTCACAGAGCCACTGGCAATGAGAACTCTTGACGAGGATGGCGAGTCTGACATGCGCTTCCTCTGCGCGTCTTTCAAGGATATGGACTGGGCGGCTGCTGTGGTGGGCGCAGTGGGTGCAGCCCACGAGCGTAGCTTGTCCCCAGAGAAGTCTGATCCAGCCAAGAAGGAATCCAGTACCATCAAGAAAGAGGCCAAGCAGCCCGTGACCGTTAAGCTCGAGAGGCTGGAGCGCGAGCAGCAACCGAAGACCAAGCCAGACATCAAGCCATGCGTCACAAGCAAGGAGCTAGAGCATCGCCTCACGAAGGGTCTGCCATATAGGCCCATCACAGCAGCCATGCTTGACTTCACGCAGGTGCTGCGGGGAGTCCTGGCAGTGGCCCGAGACTTGATGCAGGACAGCTGGCTTGGCAAGATTGCAGTGCTGAATTGCGGGGAGGAATGCCGGGCAGATATGCTAGGCTTACAGGCCAACGCCAAGGTCATCCTGGGCATGGTCTACTCCACGGACCACTGGGCGCTGCTTTGTGTTGACAAGAGGGAAAGCCTCAAGGCGCTCATATATTCGGGTCGGCGAGATCAGCAGTGCTCAGACATGGCGGTGGCTTTCATAGCCTACCTGGTCGAGATAAGCTGGCTGCCGGAGCCTGTCCGAGTGCGCCCTGCTCATTGTCCGCCGCAACGGGATGGATGGAGTTGCGGGCATCGAGTCATCCTGGCTGCCAATGTCATCCTAGAGCTCATTGCCTCAGGCGACAAGCTTCCCGGAATCCTAGATGCTGAGGATGTCAATGAGGAGAATGTACAGCTGCTGGTTGATGTTGCTGCCCGGCCGGCTGTGAAAAAACAGAATGCACAGACCAATGAGCAGCCCAGCGCACCAGCATATATAGATGCAGCTCCAGCATCGTCGCCTCAAGAGTGCACGACCCCGCCACGCAGGAAACGGCCCGCGGCTGACTTCGATGATGCCTTGTCTCCAGAGGCTCCCTCGCCCAAAAGCACACCGCGGCGGCGCCTGCAGATGCGGGAGAGGACCAAAGCTCGAAAAGCAGGCAGCGCCGGGCAACCAAGCAGCTCCGGGCAACCAACCAAGCGCAGCAAGCCCAAAACCAAGAAGGCCCAGCAGGAGCAGCTGCGGGAGGCCACAGCCAAAGCTGCAGATAAGGATGTGACACACACGCGGTTCCAAAAGAGCCATTATCAAGAAGGCAAGCCACCTCCAGCCGGTCATTGGAATGCTTTCATGCAAGCCCTGGCTTGGGGGGAGACGTTGACTTGCTCCATATGCCTTCGCTTGCAGAAGTGTGTGGAGAGTGTGGAGGGTGAGCAAGGTGATGCCATCGGTGATGCGTGTGATTCGCCGGAGGTAGGCAGGCCAGCTGGCGCGCAGCTGGTTGCTGTGCCTGCGCAAGCAGCTGAGCCTGTGCTTGGGCCCAGGTGCCACCAGAAGGGCAGACCAAAGAAGGATGAGGCTGAGGGCCAGAGGTGGTGCTTGCATACTTTCATTCGCTTGCAACGAAGCGACATCTACTTGCAGACATCAAAATCCTTCACAGCTGGGAAGTTCGCGTACAAGTGCGTGCCTTGCGGGCGAATCATTGGCTTCCAGTCACGCACGAATCCCGAAAAGGTGTTTCGGCATGAGCGTGGCATCTACCACAAGAAGGGCCTCCGGCGCATGCAAGGAGCGAATGAGGATGAAGATGAGGAGAACTGCGAAGACTCAGCGTCCGAGAGAGAGCCTGAGGAAGCGGAGGACACGCAGCTTTCTCAGCTAGTGGCAGTGCAGGCCACATCAGAGGAATGCCACGGGGTATCGTGCAAGGACGAGACCAGCTGTTTGTTCTTCTTCCAGGCCAGCCTTGAAAACTTCTACTACGCCGGTCAGCCTTCCACGATATATGGAGAGAAGGAAGAGGACCGTGTTTCCTAGGCTTGGTTTTGCCGTGAATTGCCAAGGGCTGCTGTAGTTTAGTATAGTGTAGTATATAGTTTAGTATAGTTTACTTTAGTGCGATGTGCGCCTATGCGAGTCTAGCGCCAGGATCCTATGCGGGGGGCAAGCCTCACTCTGAAGAATGAGAGTGTCATGCTGCGCAGCGACAAGTGCCAGAAGCAATACTCCCGCAGGGATGGCGCGTGTGCCGAGTGCAAGAAGCTAGCAAGCAAAGCAGCTGTGCAAAAACATGTGTGCAAGCAAAGCTACGTGGTAGATCTGTGTGCCCTAGCCTTCAACATCTCGCACCGTTCCGACAAAGATGTTGATCTCCACCTGAAGATGATGCGCAAGAGAGACTACTACAAGAAAGGCTGGGCTGGACAGGACCTGGACAAACTCATGGGCTCCCCCTCCAAGCTGGAGCAGGTGAGGTCCATCGTTCACCGACTCCAGTGCATACCGTCCTGGCGGTTGAATCCGGCACTGAAGGCACTCCTGCAGAAGTGGTTGGTGCCTACTCCCAGCTTTCACTCGGGAGACGTCGAATCCTCGGCTCACGCAAGCTTGGTCCAGCAGCTAGCCGGTGCCGTTCGTGAAGGTCGCTGTCGCTCTGAAGACCTGGCTCTCGCGGCTAAGGTGGCAGCGGGTCGTCTACGAGGTGACTCTCTGGTACAGGGGCTGGTGACAAGCTTCCTGAACGTCTTCAAGTCCGATTTGCAGCACCAGCGATATAAGACGACAGGTGCCCACATGGGCTTCGCGGCAGTGGAGGATGCCTTGCATCGACTTGGCCAAACCGACGAGTGCCGAAACCTGATGAAGGTCTTTTGCGTGAACCCCCGCAAGCTTCCGAAGCTCAACATCTTCAATGCGATGCTTCCGCAGCACTTCCTGAGCATGGAGAGTCCTGAACGCCTCCGGGAGAGCATCCAGTGTGCCTTCGGTCATCTAAAGCTGGGCCAGGGCCGTGCATTTCTGCTCTTTGATGAAACTGTGCATGCCCAGGACTTTGACCTGCTGCGTTCTGTGCACAATGGGGCTGACGCCTACATAGGGGGGCACTGGTCCAGGAACCCAGAAGAAGACTATGCGCGCCTGGACCCCCTGCAGTACGACCACCACAACTTGCCATTGGAGAAGCTAGCGCGACTAGCGCTCGCCTTTGTGTTCAAGCGATCTGACAGCAACAAGTACTGCATGGACGTCTGCCTGCTACCACGCCCGCGAGGTCAGGCTTCAGCGTCGGAAATGCTTCATCTGGTCACCTCTGTCTTGCAGCAAGCTACAGCAGTGCAAGCAGGAGTCCCGCCACAGGGTACAGCTTGTGACGCAGCAACGTGTAACAAGCAGGTGGCCAAGGCTTTCGCAGGACAGCTTCCCCAGGCTCGTATGAGAGAACACCAGTTCCTGGCAGATTGCCGCCTGATCCGACCCGGCTTCTCTTTCTGGCCGTATGCTTTTGTCGTTCACGGAGAAGGCCAGCACTTGATGACCTGTTTCCTAGGTGGCTTTCACCTACAAAAACGATTCTCCTTGCAATTTGCAGCCGGCTCCAAAAAGATATGCTTGGGTTCAGTCCATGTGGACCTGGCCTGCATGCTAGGGCGCGGGCTGCCGCGCCCAGCTTTCGCACTGCGCGAACCGCAGAGCGACAAACACTCTGCTGCTCGAATGGCGCCATGTTACACACCCAGGGTCTGGGCGAGCTTAGGGACGCACGTCTATATCCTCTTCGGTGCCCTAATCAGTGCCATCACGTGCAGCGCAGCAGCCTTCACTGTCCAGCAGCGAGCCATGAACGCATTCAGCCTGCACTACTTGGTTTTGTTGCACGCTGCCAGCAACCGAAAGCGATGGGGGCCGGATTGGGAACTTCATTCCCTGGCGCTGACCACCCTGCGCAACATCAGCATCACCTGCGCAGGCGCAGTGGCTACTTGCAAAACTGTTGTAGAGCCTGCGGCGCTGCAAGAGCTGCGCATTGAGACACACTTCGGCAACGTCAAAAGCCACGTGCGTGGAACCGCATCCCTGCGGGACTTGCTATTTGGAACGGCCAAGGAACACGCTCGACAAGCCTGCGAGCTCAAGACCCTGACCGCCAAAGACTTGCCAACGGCGTTCACAAGCCAGCCACGGGACCCGATGAGTGATGCAGATCTTGCGCAGTGCTCTCGTCAAGCGCTGGCAGTTGCTTTGCAGTTCCATTGCTGCATTTCTGAGGACCTAGCCGTCTCTGAGGCCTACGATGACTTGCAGACTTTCTGGAACAAACGGGGAGGCGCAAAGCTGTTTGGTCAGCTGGATGAGGCGGACCTGGAGGCGGCCGCGTGTCTTGATGATGCTGCAAGCGACGATGAGGCTGAGTGGAATCCTGATGCCGTGGAGGTGACAGGGCAGGCTTTGGAGGAAAATGAGGAAAAGAATGAGGGCATCGCCTTTGCTCAGGAGGGGACGCTGCTGGAATCCTTGCAAGGGCACGCAGCCCTTAACGAGGAGCTGCAGAAGTATCTGGAGATCTTGGGAGACGCAAATATGCCAAGTGCAAATGATGCAAATCAGCCCGATAAGGATGATCGGAGAGCAGCTGCTGCCAAGAAGCACTTCCTTGACATGTTCCCGGACGAAGCTGATGAAGGCGCGCCGCAGGATGATGGATATGCCGCGGTGCCAAAGACATTGCTTGAGCTGCTGAAGCCTGTCCTGAAGAAGCAAGGTGCCGAGTTCGATCTTGGTGAGGCAACTGCCCTCGGCACGAAAGCATGTCTGCTGCGCGTGCACGCTTTGATCGGTGGCATTCGCCGCATGAGCAGACTCTGTCGCCTGGAGGAAGGACTACTCAGCCTGGCCGCCCTAGAGGAGGCACAGGTCCCCATGAACCAGCACAACTTGAGACAGCACGAGCTGGCGCTCGCGCGTCAAGCTGCTTCTTTGAGCAGAACGAGGGTGTCAAGGTCAGCAGCGTGGGCAGCAGCGCAGGCGGCATTCGTGGCCAAAGTGAAGACCAAGAATGCAGCTGCCAGCGGAGAAGATCCTGGACTGATCCCCGTGGCAGCGTACAAGCCACAGCTGGACCCCAAGGTGCCACAGGTGTTGCTCATCCGGGATGCTGAGCAAGGTGCGCGCCTGTGCCTCGTCTTATCCGTCTACCGTGGGTCCGTAGTGCGCAAGGCAACCTCCAAGCAGTTGGGCCAGGTGCGGGTGTCAAAGCCTGTGGCTGATGAGCTGCCCGCGGAGTGTGTCCGCGTGGTGCACGTAGCCCCGCTTGCTCGAGAAGGAGATCATTATGTGTCCAGCTGTGCTGAGGCGCCATTGCGCCTTGACCCCGTGAATTGCGTGCAAGGGCAGCTGACAGTCAAGAATGTTTGCCTGTCCGCAACACGCGTGCATATCTTTCTGTCCAAGGCTTCAGAAGAGGCACTGCGACAAATCGAGGAAAGGCGCCTGTCCATTCCTGAGCTGACCGAAGACGCGGATGGAGGTGACGATGTTCCTCTGCCGAAAGGCGTGGGAGATGCTGCTGCCAGCAGCCGCAAATTCGATGACAGGAGCTTCATGCGACGCTCGTTGGAGGACTCAGTCCCGGCTTTCATGACAGGCCTGAAAAATCAGTACGCGGAGATGCAGCTGAAGTTCCTGGATGACGATGGAGTCCTTGCGGTGGGCAAGGAAAAGTACACGTGGGCCGAGATCCTGAAAGCTGTTCCAGGATACTTCCTTCAGACGCTCAAGGACCAGAGGGATGTTGGGGCCAATGGCTAGATTTAGTCTAGCGTAGGGAGAATTTGATTTTCAGTACTTTCATGCCCGGAAGGATCAAGCCGGCTACAAGTTCAGCCACTCCGTGCACAATCAGCTCATGCAGCTACTGCCGCAAGGATTCTTCGCAGCATTTCGTAGCACGTGCTCAACATGTTTCTGCTCCACGCCATGTCCAGGAGTAATGGCAAGTAGTGGCAAGTACTATCTGAGGACCGGCTTCTGTCAACAAGATGCGCACGTGGCTGAGCAAGGTCATGAAAGTAGCGCCCAAGGCAGTCACGCTGCCAGCGTAGGGGAAGCAAGCGATTCAGGCACCAATAGGATTGAATAAGCTCACACCCTCGCCCAAATCCTAAACAAAGCTAAGCCCAGCTGCAGCTTGAGTGAACACGCCTGAACGCTTGTGGGGGACGCGTGCAGTGTGGACACCGTGAAGAGATGGGCAGGAAGAAAAAGGAACCACTTCTCGCTGTGTCCCACTGTGCAGTGCTCGCTAAATCAATCTATTAAAGACCAACCATGACCAACCTCATTTCGTAATCATACAACGTTGGGGGCGTTTTAATACTAGGTGGCTGCTGGATGGAAATATGTTTTGATGATC